AATGAGGAGGCTGGCCCTTGCCTATATCCCCGTGGCCTGCCTGCGTCCAGTCCAAGAAGCTTCCAGTAGGCCCCGGTAGCCTGAGGCCCAGTCACGAGGAATGCAGGCACTGGGCCTGAAGTAGTTGCATGTGCCCAACTGCTTTCGGCCTGTGCTTGGCCCGGTACCCGTACCCAGCCCAGGGCCTGCTTTACATTCATTCACACGGGCGGCCCAGGGCCTGAGTTCATTCAACCAACTGATGCTGTGCAACTGCCTGAATTTCCCCATTTGCGGGGGTACCCTGAAAATGAGGCCCTGAGGGCCTGTCGTGCCTGCCTTCACTTAGGGCGGCCGACCTTGTTGCAAATAAGGCCCGTAGGGCTAAGCGGGCATAGCCTCGCAATTGGAGCTTTTGTTTCAAAAAAAGAGGTGAGTGGGAGAAGCAGGTGGTGCGATATCAAGCGTCCTACCAGTGAGGGGGCTAGCTCGTAGGATGGAAATAGCGTACAGCAGCAACGGAGATGGTGGCTCTGCTGCAGTAAGTCTTGCAGGAGTGAGGTAAAGAGGATTGATGGGGGGGTTCTGAGTTGCTTTCTGAAGTTTGCCTATGTTCTTGTTCTTTAGCCATACCCAAAAAAAAAAAAAAAATCCTTAAAAAAAGGGATAGCCAAGTGGGGCATCTTGTGGAGTTTTGGGGGACCTGCTTTGAAGTAAGGGGCAAGAAGCATGAAATGATTCTTCGCAAGGACGGAGAGGGGGATGGAATAGGGCTGCTCAATGGGTACCAGCTAGGTGGAGTCTCTTATCAGATGCGATTGGCGTCGGGTCGTTATGCTGTCTGACGAGTACCGGCTGATGAGGGCGAACCCTGGCGCGATTGGCGTTGGGTAGTGCTGGCTCACCTCCTTGAGGACGGAGACTGGAATTCTTGTGGGGGCAAAGAATTTCAGGGTGATGATGGTGCTCGGCCCCTGCTGAGATGAGGTCCTCTGGAGTTCGTTACGAGGACGGAGTTGGGAAGGACGGATGCGATTTGGATGGAGGAAGTTGGTGGTGGATGCAATTGGCGTCGAGTATCTCGGCGGGTACTGACCACTGGCCGCTAACTCCACCTGGATCAGCCTGAGCGTCTTCCCTTCGATGCTGGAGGCAGGATTGTTCTGCTTGTCTTGTCTGCTTGTCTGTTTCAAGAGTTACAGGTTTTTCTGAATTTGACTTATCCTCCTTCTGGGAGAATATTGCTGAAGCAGCTGAAGTAATTTTTCAATAGTATCCATTTCAGTACCATCAAAGGACGTTCCCTGCTCAGTTAATCCCCCGGATCCCCAGGGTAATCAATGCTGGCAGGGTGAGATCCTCTTAACTTCTCTCAAAAAAGATCTTTGTGAAACATAAATGTTCTTATGGGACGCTGGACCCGGTTTCCAGCACGTGCTGCTCCCCACGAATAGATTGGAGCATTTCCCCCCCCCCCCCAAAAAAAAAAAAAAGTTAAATAAACAGTGTTGAAACTGTGTTTGGACTATCATTGCTTCATTGTTTCCTGGATGTGATCTACTCGGCTTTCCTTTGTGACTGGTTGTGAGGCTTCTGTGGAGCGATTTGCACTGTCAGTGCTTTCTGTCATATCGCATAGTCAAGTCTTCCACTGTGTTTCTTTCTCCCTGTGCGGTGTGATACTCCTATCCTCTCCCCTTCCTTCTGTGTATGTATGGGCATACTTGGAAGTCTATGTGAACGAGTGTTGGTCATTTGACAACAAACAACCAGGTTCATAACACTGCGGCCTATAATCACGAGTCTGCATCACCCCAATTTCGCTTTCTCGGGTTGCGAGCTAAGTTTTCTGCCGTCCTCTGAATCTCTGATTAAAAAAAAAGATGAGTCATTGTGAACCGTTTTGCAAACCACAGACGCATAACAGCAAGAAACAAAGGAAAGGAGTGGAGAGGGAGCACAGAGGAGGATAGGGTGGGGTGTTGTGAAGAGAAACAAAACAAACAAAAACATGGCAGGGCAGTCTCACCTCACTTTTTGGGGGCTCTAGAGTGTCTTCTGTCTCTTTGATCGATCTGAAGATCGCAGCAATGGCCGGAAGGTTGTCTGCATCGTCCCCCTTCTTTACAACATCCGTTTTCTCCCCATCAGAGAGTAGCAGCACCCTCAGGAAGAATGCCAATTGCCTTCAGAAAAACACGAGTCACATGCACACACACACACACAACAAACCGAATCCCGAAACAGAGGGAGAACATGACAGTCAATCTGTCAGTGCTCAGTGTTATCATACTCCACTCCATCGCAATGGAAAACCATTTGTCCATCTCAACTGTAATGGTTCCTACTCGTAACAGCACTGCCTCTCAGGAAGACGGAACTTTAAGTTCAAGCCCTACTGGTGCTAGATGTGCGCTAAGCTGGTGCAAGCCTGGCTTCCTACTCGTAACAGCACTGCCTTTCAAGAAGACGGAACTTAAAAGTTCAAGCCCTACTGGTGCTAGATGTGCGCTAAGCTGGTGCAAGCCTGGCCATTTTGATGAACTCCAGTTTCATCCATTCATGGCAATTAGCCCTTTGAAACCACTTCTTTGTGTCCACTGTCCTTCCTATTCTGCTTTCAATCCAAAGACAAGGTCAACGGCCCACCGGCTACTTTGTCCGAGCAGGTACATGCTTTCTAAGCACTATTGGCATACTACCGATCGACGGGGCTTGTCATTCGTTTGCGTAAGGGGCTGGCAGAACTGCATGCTATTCAGTCCTACCTATTTCAGGTACAAGGGTCTTTATGAGCAACAGACACAGAAAACCGCATCATAGATCAAAGAATATGTTCGAGTTTATTTGGCCCACTGCCCAGAGTTGTTGAGTTGACATGCATCTCTTCCTGACCTCTCTGACCAGCAGCATCTAATCCAGTCTTGCCAACCGCCCAAGCGACCCATCTGCCGATTCCAGTTTACTACCCTGTCCTTCCATTGCCTCGACGAGGAGCAAGGGCTCCACTGTGTCTAGGAATGCCCAGTTGCTCCACGCATATCCTCTTCGTGTCCCAGCAATGTAGTTAGTTTCTGCCAATTTGCCCTCAAGCTAACGGGCAAATGAAACGGACATGTGCAATTTTTTAGCAAAAGACATGGTGATTACTGAGAAACAAAGACCAAAATATGATGAAAGCGACGGAAAAATAACACACACGAGGCAGACAAAAGTACACAGAACATCTTCCATACTTGAGATGATTGCCAGAAGATTGCTGTGCGTTTGGGGGGTGACAAACTGAAGTGGACGAAGAGGAGGAGGAAGAGGAGGGTGGTGAGGAGGAGGAGAATGTATTTACTATTTAGTATTTAGTATTTACCAATTAAGAAATAATAAGGTGTAGTAGATTATTACCATGACAAAGGACTGGAACAGAGGAGGAAGGGAGGAGGAGGAAAGTAAGGGGATTGGATGTTGAAATCTAGCAGAACAAAGGACTTACATTTGAAATGGATCATACACTGTTGGATTGTCTCTATCAGGGCCTCTGGGAAAGTCTGGATGATGTGCAAGCACATGCACAAGGTGCACCAACACATACTCCGGCTGCAGCTTCAACGTAGTTCCAGCGGTCTTCTCACTCAATTGTGCTAGCCGAAGTCTTGCCTCTCTTCTACAATTGTCCACAAAATCAGTCATATACTTCTTCACCTGCACCCCAATTTGAAAATGCCACAAAAGCACAATCAAATTGAATCAACTGAATCAATTCCAAATTTCCAATCCTTCAATTTGAAGATGAGCAAACCTCCTTGATTTTCTTGTTCTTTGCTCCTTTTTGTTTCTTATCTCTTTTCCTCCTACTTCTTATTTTCTTAAAAGAGTGACGGCTTTGAGATATCATCCTCGTTCAACCGACCAGCCCCAGGTAATTCAGAATGAACTTATTCCAGTCATCTGGTGGAATCTGGATTCGAACTCGGGTCTGCATTTCAACAGTTCAATGGTGTACCAACTGAGCTAGGCCCGTTGGTACACTCTTGAACGTAGACGACTCTACTACATGTGCCTACCGTCTGAATACAACGCCCGGTCATTATAGCTGTATTTGGGGCCACTTTCAGTCTAGGCACAGCGATAATGACCGACCAGGCGTTCTATTCGGGTGACAACAGTATAGATCATGGGTGTACCAACTGACTCTACTGCATTCAAGGTCCTTAGTAGTAGACCCTATTGCCTCCACTGAGACAGACTGCGGGATCATCATGTCAGTATCTGACCTGAAACTTGGGTTGGATACGACTATTTTGATCCCACGTTCCATTATCTCCATGTTGAAGTGAATCGAACCAAATGTAGGCCAGGGCAGCACTGTGAAAGTCTCCCCATTGACAGATAAACATACAATTACCTCAGTAACTTGCTCTTTGTCGACGTCAACAACCGCTAGTGCAAATGCGCACGCAAATCGATGAGGAATAGCACGATCGTGCAGCATCATGTGAATTTTCTGACTTAGCTCCTTCCTCACCTGGAAGCAAGAGTCCTGCATTTTGCAAACAGCATACAGCAACTCAGTCATCCATTCAGTCATTGAGTCAAAGTTAACTGTGTGCGACTACCGGTACAACAAAACAAAAAAGAAAAAAAAAGTGATTGCCGGTAGTTCTTGAACCTCGAGCTAATCCATTAAAGTTAAAACTTTCAACGACGACGTCTTCCCTCAAACATAACGCATCCTGCTAATGCAGTATACCAGCTATCTTTTCCGGGCAAGTACATCCATAACGAGGATACATAGCGTTCGGGGGAGACAGTACCATCTCCCCCCATTAAGATTTGAGTTTCCCAGAGAAATCTTGTAAAATGGTGACATTTTCTATGCTAGGTTTACACCATATATATTATTACATACGTTCTAACTTCTCAACAACAGGTGTTACATCTTGTGCATTCTGGTTGTTTAAAACACACACGTGCAATGTTTGGGGGAAGGCCGTAGCACGCAATCCATCTTCCCAGGCCAAGTACATGGATTATGTACAGAGTAGCTCAAGTAGACAAACTCAAACACTGATCAAGAAGTTTTGTCACATGTGGCTCCTGATTTACAATTGTTTGGAAAAACTGAAACGAAGTTGGGAAGCAGAAAGATATTTCCTGAGTTCACGGGTATGCAGATTCTATGATGTCAATCGCTGAGGAACTTCCCTTCTTTCTGTTTTGCATTCCTTATTTTTTCTGTTTTCCAAATTTCCTTCTTTTCCATGTCTATAGTCACGCCTGGTCATCTATCTCTCTTAGATGACTATAGAGGACCGCTTTTGCTTTCATCCACTCCGCAAGGAAACCGCACCGGAGAAACAAGCACACTGTACTCTTAGGACCAGCACGCATTAAGGCACCAAGGCAATAGGAAGAAATAACAAAGCAACAATGACCGCACCAGCACAAGAATTGACAATGCTGTAGTCTCTTGATGATGAAAATCCCTCCTCTCACCTCCCTGACAATCAATACAATAATAATGATAGTTTTCTGCTCTCGCCGGATCTCACGACCAGCTTACGCGACCACCTACTCTATCCACTACCCCTGGCACCCCAACCTACAATAGACCAATATACAATGCCATTATGCCACGGCATATGATGTTGCTCCCACCGATGCCTGAAGGCAGACTGTACCACCCTAAGAAGACATTAGAAAGCATGAATTGGCACAGCAGCACAAGAATTGACAACGCCATAGTCTCTTGATGATGGCAAGCCCTCATCTCACATCTTAACAGTCAATACAACAACAATGATAGTTCTCTGCTCTCGCTAGTCTTGCTACCAGCTTATGTGATCTCCTACTCTTTCCACTACCCCAGCCTATACCGTGTCAATGTACAACAACACAGCATATAATGTTGTTCCCACCGATGCCTGAACGCAGAGTGTACCACACTGAAGATCTCTTCTTGGCAACCACCAGGAATGTCCCTCCCTCACCAACCACCTTCCCCCGAGATGGGCCCAGACTTCCCCAGCCACTTTCATATGCCAAGCCAGTATCTGGAAAGACCGGTAGGTACTGCCCCGTGGTTCGTTCCAGCAGCGGTCGCGGCCTGCCAAGAGCCTGACAACCTGGCCAGTACCCCAACCCAGAATCTCAACTAGTCAGACCTGTTCTTTTCCCAAATTTGGCCGGGCGTCACTTTATTCAGGCCCGGCCTTCACATAGGGAACAGCTGCTTCTGCACCTGGGAGGCCTTCCTGGCCTTCCCATTTCATTTTTCCTCATTCAGGCTTGCATGCCTGGATAGATCTGTCTTGTGTATATCTAGGATCAGCACCAGACCTAGTCCTGGTTAGCCAGATTCGGACAACAGCTGACAGCGCCAGCTAGCTGTGGCAGAATAGGTGATGGCAAGAACGCTGTTGTGGGCCTCCTACTGGCTCTTGCCGATTTTCGGTTGACAGCAGACACTACTGCATGCATCTCAATTTTCTAGCAGGTCAATCAACAGATGACAGAGTACAATCGTAAAATATATCATTGAAAGACATTAAAAAACGAAACACAAAAAAAACTAAAATCAACATGTATGACCCAAGTGGGCTAGCTCAGTTGGTTTGAGCACGTAAGTGATATTCAGGAGGTCCCAGGTTCAATTCCCCACGTCGTCCATTCAATCCCCCACGGCCTCCTGTGTTACACTTCGGCTTTACCAGCGGAAATATTTGGCTTGGGCCTCCTGGCTGGTTGTGGAAGTGGTGATTGGTCTGCCCAGCCCGCGTCAGGTGTTAGGAGCTTGGATGCTTCTCCCCGCACAGAGCAGAGATTGGTAGGCTTAGACCCATAACCCTATGGTTGTTCAGGTTTGAGTAGAGGGTATCTAAGGCTGTTCGCTCCTTGTGATTCTAGCGTAGTTGGTGATTCTAGGCCTCCTACGCTGCTTGTGATTCTAGTTTAATTGATTATTCTAGGTCTTTCCGTGGGATTGAGGGTAGGGTGTAGACATGGGTAGCAGTGTGAGACACATTGTGAGAAGATAATAGGGTAGGAGAAAAAATACAACTGTCCCCCATATGAGGAGAAGGCAGCTGTATTTTAAAAAATAATAATAATAAAAAATTCAACATGTATGGTGTCCCCGACACCTGCGTTTCGACAGCTGCCAAGCCGACCTCCTCACGGGTTTCCACCGCCCTCTACCTCGTACTGAACACAACCACCTTCACTCCAATGTACCCACTTCCGTTGCCGACCCGACTAAACTATCGCAAGAGAGCACATGTCGCTCAACGTATTTAACCTTCTCTAACCGCAGACGCAGGGTTTCTTTATCATACTACCTACCAAGCGAGAGAATGTTAACGGAGGCCTGAATTTTCAGAAATGCCAACAGAGGAATTCAAAACAGTCCACAGGACTCCAAATTTGGCACACAGCAAAGAGCCAAAAAAAAAAAAAAAAAAAAAAAAAAAAAAAAAAAAAAAAAACTAATTTCAGTTTTGGGCCCCTTGGGCAGGACCTGAAAACAGGGGGTCCCCGTTAACCAGTAATCTGAGTAATGCCACATGAGTTTGAATCCCACAGAGACATACGTTTTCAAGCCTTAGGACATAATACTCTTCTACTACGGGCAAGAGTAGGAAATCCGTGAGACTACAAATCCAGCAAGGTGATGCCTGAGTAGCAAAAACTCATGCAGGTTCAAATGCCAACATGTCCGATCATCACTCTATGAGAGTGGAGCCCACCAAAACTCACGCAGGTTCGAATCCCCACAGGCAGTGTCTAACGACCAAGGCCAAGGTCTAATCTATGACAGCCCCTGAGCTACCCAGGTACACCTACCTACTGTTGTTGTTGCTCTTCAGTTGTTGATGCTTAGTTCTTGGTTTCTACGACCCTTTTTTTCTTAGTCATACCTATATCTATAATCAGTTATCCTACCCCCTCCAACGCTGGGACTACCGTCGTTGCTATTCTTTCTGGTAGTCTACTCATGATTTCTCATTCATAACCCTCCCTCTCCTCCTACTGAGATACTCTGCTTTTAAGCCCTGTGACAATACCCTGCCACCAACAACACAGGGTATGTGTGGCATACTGTGCAGCCACACAGGCCTGCAGGGCCCAACCAGACGGATGTGTCGCTTCAGCCTGAAAGCCTGAAAACGAGGGCCTACAGGCCCTGTGTCGTTTCAGCCTAAAAGCCTGAAAACGAGGGCCTACAGGCCCTGTGTCGTTTCAGCCTGAAAGCCTGAAAACGAGGGCCATTTTCAGGCCCTCATAAAGACGACCTCCCCTGAAACTTAGGCACCAGACCAGGGTTTTAGTGCAGGCCATTTTTGGGCCTGTTTCAAGACAACCGTTGTTTGAACTTCAACGCCAGGGTCTGACACATTTCGGCATTGGCAAGTGCAGCCTCCCTCCATGCCGGACCAGCACTATATAGTACTGGTCCTAGTACTGGTCAGCCAGGCACTTCACGTGCAGGAGGCAGGAGGCAGGAGGCAGTCTTCAGGATTTGGCAGCAGCAATCTGGAGGAGCGCCGCAGTAGTAGTAGTAGTGTTAGCAGTAGTCTCCAGCGCTGGGCGCTATTAGGAGCTAGAGTAGCGTTGGAGAGAGAGAGAKGGTTGGCGGAGGCCAGGGAGACTTACCTGTGGCGCCATAGCTCCAGCTTCGTCTTTGATGTACCTGCAACAAGGCGCGACCTTCACAGGTTAGTACCGGACTGAGAGAGAGAGAGAGAGTCATTCTTCTTCCTCTTCTAAGTCCACCATCTCTCCCTCACCCTCTCGATACCTAAATTCTCAGTATCTGCAGACTACGAGAGAGAGAGAGATTGGTGACATTGGGACTTGACGACATTTGGATTCAGACTCAACATTGGGATTGAGACATTGGACGAGGGATTATTTGGGACCTGTACCGAAGACTTGGTGTTGACGACACCCCTCTTCTTCGTCTAACCCCCCTCCTCTTTGTCTGTGTATGGTTGGGGACTGGCGCATTCTTCCTGTGTGAGCGCCAGACCCCTTTACACCATAGAATGATGATGATGTATGTTTGGTCTGCATTGCAACATTGATTGTTCGGATCATTGCTATATTAGCGTTCCGCTGCGATATCTTGTACTACGTGAGAGAGGTCGGTTCTTGTTCTGGTCTGCACATTTATGGTATGCGACAGTATGAGACCCTAATACACTCCCTCCAAGGACACCTATGCTCCCCCTCGAGTGGACCGAGGGAGAGCACCACTCTGGGTCTCGGCAGACCACACCCTTGACACCTTGTCACTGCCCTGCTACCCAAGACCCAGAGTTGGACATACCCCCAATCTGCCACTGCTCCCCCATTCACCTTCCTCCATGATGACAAGGGTACCTGTTGCGGCTTCGCTCGCAAGGGATTGAGGGGGAAATGGGAGAAATGAGTCGGGGCGGTGGGTTAGTGGGTTTTCGGGCGGTGGTTGGGGGTGTTTTTAGACTCATGGTCCCGTGGGGGGTTGTGCCCTAACAGCTATGGCAATGTGTGTGCAGCACCTCCTGCTAGTTGGGGAGGTTCTGCAACAGCTGGCATGCAATGTCTACCCCTACTGTCTTACCCGCCTCTAGACTGAAATTCAAGGGCGTACCTTGGTTGGTATGGCACGCAAGTGGCATTCATGAGGTCTTGGGTTCAATCCCCGTTGGCCTCGTGTACCTTCCTGCGCAAGCTTGGCGCCAGACACAGAGAGAAAGACCGGCAGGGAGGCACGTCCTTTTTCCCCGAGCTGTGGAGGTGTGGCGGAGGAGCGGGGAGACTGAAGAAGCGGGGGAAGAGCGCAGAGGAGGGCGGCAGGGGCAGAGAAGTCATGGGCGATGAGCCGGGTAGTTAGTCTGGTCTCTCTCTCTCTCTCTCTCTCTCTCTCTCTCTCTCTCTCTCTCTCTC